TATTGCATACAGCCATGTGCAATAAAAATTGTGACTTCAGAAACAGTTTTGAGAAGGGGGAAGTTGAGGACAGCAGACTTTTGGACTTACTGCTGTCTAGGCTCTCACCATCTAGCCAGGATTGGATCTGGTCCAACTGGGATCCATCACAAGCATGAGCTACACTGGTGGGCATAGTGCCCAGATGTCCTGAGTGAACTCTAAAATGTTTGACAGAGACACATGCTCTTTATCTAAACTAATGGCACAGAGAGACTTTACAGTAAATAGAGTGACTGTCAATTATTTGACTCTAGAATTGAAGTCTCAGGTAAATGGAACATTAAACAGAGGCTCAAAATCAGTGTCATAGCAATAGATCTGAACATGGTGACTCATATTTTCTTTGCATTTGAGCTCTTTTGATAGCAGGTGGATACTTTCCCTCACAGATCCTGTGAATCTGGATAATTATGGATTTTAGATATAGAAAAACAAACTGTCATACTATTTCTATCCAAAATTGAGAAACTGAGCGTAGGAACACATCAAAGTGAATGGGAAAACCTTGAGCAACAGAAGGGTTGTCAGGCATTGGAATGGGCTGAGCTGGGAAGTGGTGGACTCACCATCCTTGGCACTGTTCAAAAAGGTATGGATATAGCACTTTGGGACATGGCTTAGTGCTGGACTTGACAGCTCTATGTCATGGTTGGAATTAATGATCAGAGAGTCTTTTGCAACCTAAAATATTTTATGGTTCTAGGACTGGAAGAAGACATGCATGCCTTCTGTAACATAGGTAAGTTAAAGCTAGCTTGGACTGGTGAGTTTAATCAGCTGGAACCAAGAGGGCAAAACAATTGCCATCTGACTTATTTTTGTCAAAGCTAATAGAATTTGAAGATATGCACAAAAACAGTTGGTGAGCAAGCCTGAATAATGGTGATCAATACAGGTTAAAGATACAAATAATTTGTAGACATGATTTTATGAAGTTAAAAAAAAAAACAAAACATATCCAAGAGTTGTTCTACATCTCTGGTTGCCTATAATATTTTTAAGGATGAATCTCTATTTGTACTGTAATATGACTTAGCTGGTGATGAACAGTCCAGTTCAAGTTGTGCTTTAGTGAGACAAGAAAAATGTCCATTTTAACTGCACATCATTAGTAATTCTTTCAGACTATGAAAGAATGAACATATGGGCCAAAACAGTTATTATTTATTAATTGTTAATATTTACTAACGTGGGTCCTCGGAAAAGAACTTGATTTCTGAATGCAGCAACGAGTTGCTAGTTTCCTGCCCAACATGCACCTGTGGATAGATTTTCATGATTTCTTTGACAAAAGATGAATTCATTTGCCTGGCAGGTCTGGAAGTGGGAGGAGGGGAGGGGAATTCCACTGAAAGGTGTATACTGATAGCATTTCTTAATGTTTCAGCCAAGGTCAAGTATGCCTACTTCCAATCTTAGAGAGATTTTGCTGTCTAATCTTGCAAGGGATTTTGATGACATTTGAGCATGTTATTTCCTTGCCCATGAACGTTCTTTCTGGCAAATTACCAACTCTGAAGCAGGAAAGGTGTGTGAATATGAAAACAGACTTTCACAGCATTTCAACTTGCTGCTTTATCCATGAGTACTTGTTGCTTTCTCTCAACTTTTTGATTTGTTAGGAGGAATGTGAACTCTACATGACACAAACTGTGATATTTGAAGGTAATAAGAGATCCTTACTTATGGGAATTGACAAGTGAATGATTCTTGGGACAATTTGATGAAGAACTGGAGTTATTAACAGCTGGGAGGCAAAAGCTCATTAAAAAATGTAACTGATTATTGCTGAGCATGAAGATCCAATAGAAGATCTTTTTAGAATTCCTGTGGTCTAGGTGGATGCTCAGTAACAGTATCTCCTCCTGTTCTCCCCACCTTCCTGATTGCATAGATCTGTAGAACTAAAGGAACTCCCAGAGGTCCCTGCTTTTGCCTAGAGCAGGATCAGTGTCACTGATGGCAATTCAAACTGTGATTCACTAGCTCCCATGGCGAAAATACAGAATGAACTGCCTGCATGTTCTTTCATGAAGTCAAGCTTCATAACTAAACTACACCTCTTCTGTTGTTACCAGCTGATCTGGTGATTCATTTTTTTTATGTTTTCAGTGAAGATTGGGAAAAAAAAGTTATCTGCCTTGTGCATGTTGGGACATTGCTTCTTCCTCTAATCCTGTAGCACCTTTGTATCAAGGGTCTGCATTTACTGGTCATCCACATATGTCCAGTGAAGAAAACTGAGATAATTTGAAGGCTCTGTTTATGGAAGTGATGGAATTGAGTGAATCTTTATCAAGAACCCATTTATGTGTGATTTGTCCAAATGCTTAGTATCTGACTTTCTTAAAAAGTGCAGAGCAAAGCTGTAGTGGTTGTCTGGGATGCAGTGATGGCTCTGAATTTTCAGATGATCTCTTAGAATGACATTCCTCTGAATGAAAACAGAGACTACATGTGACTCATGTAAGCCTGTCTGGATTCCTTTGACACCATTGCTTTAAAAATAAGTGTGCTAGTGTATGCAATGCATAAAAATTGAAATCTGGCATTTACAATGGCATGTGTAACAAGCTGGAGTACTAACAGTGTTCTCCATGGATGCTGCTTCAGCTGAATTGGCTGATACATCTCATCATGTTCATGGAAACTTCTACTTTCTCTGACTCCATCTTGCCATAAAGTATCTTCTATTCTCAGTTCTTAGGTAAGGTTTGAATTGCAACATTCTTTCTATAACAAACCACAAGGAAAACAAATGCTGCCACATGTTCGTGTCTCATGGAAGCTGATGAATATTTGAGCTGCTGTGGCCCTATTGGCACTTTCTGAACATGGTGAGCCTGCTGGCTCAAAACTAACCAGGAAGCAAAACAATAGTTAATCTCTGCCTGATTCTACTTGATGAACCAGGTCAAATTCCCCTCTGTAGCTGCTGATACCTCGAAGAGGAGGGACTGGAAATGTGGCTGGGGACAGAAGAAAAGGAGTGAGACTCCAGCAATCTCAGCTGAAATTAGTTTGAGCTGCTGTGAAACTGCTCCAATGGCTTTTCAAGTTCTTTTAAATTATTTGGCAGTTTCAGTCTTGAGATATTTGGCAGTTTCAGTCTTGAGATATTTAGCAGTGAAATGATGGATTATGTGCTCTTTCCTTCTATCCCTCTGCAATTTCTGAGCTAATATCTCTTCATCAGAAATAGTCCTAAAGGTCCTTAGTTCTATACCATTTGTCTCAAGCTGAAGTCCCGGGCATATTTTGACATTTTGCCCATTCACTTTTATTTGAAAATCTGATTATGTTTGGAGAACTCAAGCATACCCACAGAATCTGCCTGCAGAAAATATCAAATATAAAATATAAATTATATTCTTTTTAACAATAAATTCTATTAATTTATGTACCTTGCAGCAACCTTGTCTGAAATATCTAATCAGTTGCCTTTCTCCTGCTGAGAACTGTTTCATGCTTGGAGGAAAAATTTAGCCTTTCAAAATCCTGCAGTTTTCTGGTGTTACAATAGGATTGATTTCTTGGCTGCTTCCTTGTAAGCATACATTAAATTGTAATGTCCTTTATTAATATAAATAAGACATCACCATCCACAGCAGCAGCAGATACCCTAAATTTCATTGATGGCATGGAGAAAATTTTACAGCTGTAAAACACTGACCATTGTTATCAGAGGAGGAGAAGTGCAATCTTCCCATCTGTGCTTTGCTAGTCCCATGTCCCTTGAGCATGGACTTGAGTAAATTAAGCTGATGGCAAATATATTCTTTCCATTAATAGCTTACATGTATCTTCTCAAGCAGCCACTCTTCAGTGTGTGAGACATTTCAAAATCAGAGTTATTGGTGCCATTTCCAACTTTCTGGATTGTTTCTTACCATCATGTACTCACTCCTAGTCATTCATCAGCTCAATGCACTACAGATTCTTCTGCTATTAATTCTGAGAGACAGAGACATAATCCCATATCATTTCTGGGATAGTTTCGCAATGTGGGCAGTGAGACTATGCCTTTGTGTCATATTGCCAGGCAATTCTACATTAGGTACAGTTCCTTCAAAGTTCTGGATTGGCAGGAGTACAGCTTCAGTTTTCCTGTCATATCAATGTAATATTTTCTTGGCAGCAGCAAACACCTGAGGGTTGTTGTGCAAATCCTGTAAATCCCACGTAAATCTCATGGTGGTCATGTAGGCATATTTTATGTTTCCTCTGCGCTATCCTCTAAGGTCTCCATGAAAAATTGGGGAAATGCTTCTGAGTGTCCATGATCTTTCCAGTCTAAATAACTGCTACAGTTTGTTTTTTTGAGAACTTTTGCATCTCATTTCCCTTCTGTGGCTCACACATCCCCTGGGGTCCTACAAGTCTTGTGTCAGCCTTGACTGATGGAGATGTATGAGACCAAAACGTAGAAAGGTTGGACATCCAGCAAGTAAAAATGAACTGTCATGCCAAATATGTTACCGGGCTCAGCTCAGTTGTGATAACCTAGAGAGAGCTGGCAGGGTGGTGGGACTGAGGGATGAGAGCCTTTCTGCAGGCTTTTGGCCCACACTCTGTCCCTTGGATTACCCTTGACTTGCATTGTTGTCCAAGCAGAAAGAAATGTGGGAAGCAAAACAAGAGCCCAGATACGGAGTTATGTATAAAATGTGTGTGTGTGCTTGAGTGTGTCTCTGTGGATATGCCCACAGACACAATTAAATATTTTCCTAAAGTTTTAAGCACTTAATGATCCACCCATTGTAGGAGGAATTTTAGTGCTATTTGAAGATGTTTATATTAACTTAGTACAAATTACACCTTTTAGGGCATAAATAGCTCTGTGCAAAAAGCTGGTCCTCTGAGATCAGTGATGAGAAAACATCTAACTGCTCCATTGGTAGAAACACAGCACCAACTGGCAGGAGGACCCCTCTTCAGGGAAGACTGACACCTTTTGAAGCAAAGTCAGCAACCTTTATTTTCTTTTCGTGATATCATTCAGAAGCTGTGTTGGGATCCTGATCCCCACAGGGCTGCTGCTTGGCCTTCTTCCCCTGGAACTGCAGATTTTTTTTGTCAGTAGCTATCTAACAGACTGTTCATACATTGAGCTATTTATTTAGACACCTGCAGGCCAGAGTGTGGGTGTGAAACCTGCCCTCACTGTCTCAGAAAAAGTTCAGGGGTGACCACATGCACCAAGAATTGGGACACTGTATGGGTCAGTGGTTCCCAGTGAGGCCAGGGGACTGGAGAACCAGGGGAGCTCATGGAGTCCAGCAGGGCTTTGCCTGTCCCACAGCCCCAGGCAGGGAGGAGGGCAGGCTGGGTGGGGAAGGAAGGACCAGACCAAAATCCCAATTGTCAAAGCCCATAGTGATGAGACAGACATGGGGTCATGACAGGAAGTCATCCCATGGGTCAGGGCTGGGATTTGGGTCAGTGGGGTCTATGGTCAGGCACAGACATTACTGCAATGCAATCCATCATGGAGCAAATGAAGCGCAGTTAGCAAGAGAAGGATGATGGATGTGGGGGGACTTGGCTGTGTCTGAAGCTTCTTCCAGCTCCTCCATCCTTCCTTCTTTCTCTGTGACAGTCTTAATCAAGCTTAGACACCTGTACAATATCTACACACAGCTAAACTCCTGGGAGGGAGAAGTGTATGGCATGCTCTTGCCATATCACCGATAGCTCCCATATTGAAGTGAAGCATGCCTGTATGCCAGGGCCTTTCCACTTTTCCTCAGCTTGTACATCAGCCCTCTCCTACTGGAGGGAGATGTAATGGGAGGAAATCACCTGGAGCTGTTTCATATCTGAGTGGTTGTTTTAAAAAGCCCAACTCATCTTCCAGTGTAAAAGGTAAGATCTGTGGATCCCACCTGCTTAAAATGATCTGCAAATGACTTGGAGAAACTGGTCCCCAACTCTTGACTCATAGAGAATGTGAGACACTAAAACACATCTATGATCCTTAGAAGTATTGTCAAATTCATATTTTACAAGAGAGGGAAAGCAGACTGTGCTGCCACCCTCCTACTCACTGAGTTTGTTGTCCCAGAGGTTCAGGAGGTGGGAGAACAGATATGGACTGCATTTCATTTTGGTCCAGGACAAAGCACCTTTGGGAGGATGGATAAACTGTTAACAAACATTATCAGTGTAAGAAGCAATATATTGCAAGACTCTGAGAGCTATCATCTTTTAAAAGCCTGAGATAGGTATGGAAATGTTATTTGGCAATTTTCATGTGCTTTCAATGACACGTTTTCTTTGATTTTTCTTACAGTGATACCTTTGCCCATTTCATGGAGCTCAGAAGACACGTTCCTCTCACTTAACCACAGGAATGACACTTGCAGCTTTGCACCCTGGAAGAACAATGAAGAAACAGATGTATTTTACCATCTTACTCTATAAAATAGAATTACAGTGAGTCTGTGGTCTAGTTTTCACAAATAGTATGCTAACTCCCATTCATTTGGCAATGATACTCTCCTGGCTTTATTTTTTTTTTGCCTTTATGAAACAATATTGCAATGGCTTTCAAATAATAGGCTAGATTTCTTTATCAATACATTTCTGCACAACTGTTGAACATTAATAGATTTATGTTGTTAGTTAACATTTTAATTTTGTCTCAGGAAGAAGCTCTAAAAAAGACAGAAAAATTGCTAAGAGCTCAGAATAAAGTGTCTTTTGTGTCCACACACAAGAGAAATGGCTAAGCTGCATATGACAACAAAGTATCTACAGACAGTTCTGCTTTTCTGGATGCTGAAGCAAAGGTTTGAGCTACTTAAAATTCCGGTTCTTACATGAGCAGCAACTGTGTTCTTTCCATCTGTGAGAAGAAATAAAACACACTAAGAAAAATAAAGCATTCTGTTCCCACTTCCTATGCTATGCAGCAGACACAGCTTTAGAGATGGATCTGGCAACTTTGAGCATGGTGTTTATAGTTATTTACTGAAGCATATCATTGCCCTGTGGGGAGCAGCTCTCCCTATTCCTTCAGATCCCGCAATTCAAAATTCACCACATCTTCAAACTGTAATTAACATTAGCTCGTAACTGCCCTGGATGCTCTGTGCCAGATGTCACTTGACTTAAGGCTCCTTTATGCTGCCAGACTGCAAAGAGCATTTATGGTAATGGTAAACTGGAATTATAACATCCAGAATAGCCCTTAGTTACACAGATAGCACCACCTAACAGCTAAGAGCCATGTAATTTGTTTTGGAAGAGTGACTCTAGGTAACACAAGTACCTTTCTTCGTAAATCATTAACCCAGTACTCAGAGATTGTTCTGCTCTCTGTTCCTGTGTTTATTATCTCCATTTTGTACTGCATAATTCTGCCAGAATGTACTTTTATCACCTTGGTTTTGGACTTTAGTTTTGCTATCTTTTGCTTTGCAAATGGAAGAAAACTAGAATTAATGTGCAACATTTCTGGTTACAAATTAATTATGAAAATTCATTGCAAATACAAGGCAATACCAGAAAGAAAGGAATCTTTCCTCTGTGTGTGAAAGTAAATAATTTTTTTGCACAATTGTTTTAATTTAATGAACATATTTTTAAAACATTTTCGTTTACATAACACTGACTTTGATGTTTTCATAATATAGCTTCCAAAATCAATATTATCTGGATGGTCAACATTACATGAAGAAAGGAGAAAGCATGGAGAAGAAGTACAGGAAAAAACAGAGTATCAAGTATCATGATGGAAAGGTAAGAGAAAATAGCTTTTTTTTTTTTTTTGGTTGGGAGATGTTCTCTTTTTGTGAAAATTCTGATAAGATTGGAGAAATATAACAAATATGTAGTGCATCTTCTGGTTGCCTTCTTCTTTGAACTTCACCAAAATAATTATACTATGGGATTTGATATATCCTGAACAGAAACAACTTCTATAGTAACCCCATGAAAAATGATTAATCAGAGGCTATGCTGGGTAGAAAGCCTTCTCTGACTAGCACATTTTTTGTAGAAGAGAATATTAATGACATTACTACCTGATCTCTATAAGAAGCCTCAAGCAAATTTTTAGGTCTGTGAATGCAGACAAAATTAAATCAGTAGTACTGAAAGTCCATACAGAGTTACTTGTAAAGGAATGGTTCTTAACCTACCACATCAGCAATCTGTGTTAATACATCAAGTTAAATCATTTTTGTTCCTGCAGTCCAGAACCAGGCATCTCTCAAGTGACCTGTGTGGAAGATGTACACACATATATTAAATAAGTTTGGTCAATCATTCACTGAAGTTGATCAAGAAGAAATCTGACTGTCTTCCCTACTGCTGCGGGGCTGTGCACCTTATTCTGCTTAACTTTAAAAAAACAGTGGTAGGGTGAGAACTTGGAACATATGCTACAAGTAAGTTCATATTGTGAAAAGATTTCTTTTGGCCTCTTTTATGCACAAATGAGGCAAAAATGATGCCTGTTCTGCAGAGATAACTATTGAAAAACAAAGATGTGGCATGACTTCCTTCAAGATCCAATTTAAGGGGCAGGCAGTGCAGTGCTGCTAATTTCCTTTGACTTCATCTACTTTGGATGCTCTGTGTGTTTGAAGGTAGAAGAGATGCTTTCTGGTGGATGCTGAATCCTCACTTTCTGTGATGGTACTAAAAAGGAGATTAGTGCTGATAAAAGAATGACAGCAATCAGCCTCTCCAATGGAGATGTAAAGAAGATCTTGCCAGATCAGAGGGTGGTGGGTAATTTTTTGTTTTCTTTAAGGAAAATAAAATGATTAATAGATTTTCCAGCAAGGTTCTATAAGTTATCTTGATCTATCAATTCTGAGAGAAACTGATGAGGAAAGGTGTTGGTTTAACAACCCTGAGCAGCGAGACAGCTTCACCTACAAAGACAGAAGTGAAAAGGCATGAAGGTAACAGTTGAAGAAGGGACAAACGTGTGGCTGGCCAAGCAGGAGACTGAACAAAGGCAAGGGGCAGGGGCAGCCATCTGAAGCAAGGACTGGTTTTTATACATTTGTAGAGTAGGTAGTGCAGAGGTTTCTTCCATGTCAGCCATAAGTAGTCAGTAATAATGTGGGGTAAAGTGGAAATTAGTGAGGCCTTGGCAGCACTGGGGTTATTTTAAATTAACATTTCATAAATAAGAGTCAAAGCATAAAGGTGAGAGGATGACTTTTATACGCATACTGTTCTCCTGCACACTACAGAGGTGAAAGTAGCATCATCTGGACACAACCACGAAGGAGAATAAGAGGAAGGAACAGCAGTGTTAACATAGCTACTTCTATGGATGGCAGATGAAGAAAATGACCTTGAAATGACTTTTTAAAGATGGGTTACTTTTGAGCACATTGTTATGGTTGAATCTGCTTATGCAAATATTGTGAACATGCTGCTATCATCTCACTCTCCTTCCAGATTTATTATTATGCAGATGCACAGAAAACTCACACTGCTTATCCAGATGGCCTGGAGGTGCTGCAGTTCCCTAATAATCAGATAGGAATGCAAGAGCTCATAATGTGAACTGTATGTGCAGATTTATTTCAATTATCAAAGTGTGGTCTGAATTCTGACTCAAGCAGACTGGGTATTTTCTTGCCATTTCACATTGTCTTTGCATTTTACTTTCAGTATATTCCATCACTTCTCAGTTTTCTCCTACAAAAGAAATATTATAATGAAATGTAAATGTAGCTCTTCCAATTCTGATTATCTGATTATGTGATTCTTTAATTTATTTTACCAGTATTTCAGATATAATTTACATCCTCACTACAATGTCAAATAAAAATTCCTGACCTAGCTTTGTGTAAGGCAACTGGAAAGAACACTAGACAGACTTTTTACATCTTATTTTCTACAGAAAAATATTATCCTGATGTCACACAAGAACTTGTGTTCCCAGATCACACAATGAAATGCCTCTGCAGGGATGGACTGAAAGAAGCTTTTTTCCCAGATGGCACAGTAGTAAAATTAGAAAAGTAAGTCCTGTGTAAATGACAGGGACAACACTTTGGACACAGGTACAGCAACACTGACATTTAGAACTGTGGTTGGATTTTGCATAGCTGGGAAATTTCCAGATGAAGGGAAAAAGGATTTGTAAGATAACAAGGGTTTTGCAAGAATGAAAATTCACTTCTACCTTGAATGATAGGTGACAACTCCCCACTGGCAAAATGACTGTGAAATATTCCTCATTTAGTTCCATGTAACTTTACACTGGCCAGAGCAGCTGGGAGATCACCAGTTGTCAGTGTTAGCAATGTGGGTACTAAAGGACTCAGGATGAAGTCTCCTGAGCTCTGTTCCCATGTGTTTGGTTTCCCCTCTAATACTTGGCAAGAACTGAGATGATCTCAGTTGGTTAGAGCATGGTGCTAATAACACCAGGATTGTGGGCTTGATCCCTGAAGGGGATATTCACTTAAGAGCTGGACTTGAGAGTCCTTGTGGGTCTCTTCCTGGTCATATTCTGTGAATCTGTGCCATCTCTCTATTCCTCCACACAAGATGAGAAAAGCAGCATCTGGCCTTTTTTACACATTTCTTCTGGAGAAGAGGAAGGACCCTGTTGTAAAATTGATTTTCTGCCTGCAAAATGCCTTGACATCTCTGCAAGAAGTCATGTAAAATTCATATCTCACCATCCATTAGCTATTATACTACATATTGAAGTATTTTTGTGAGACCAGATCTCTAATGCCATCCCATGTAAATCCTGAGGTTTTCCTTGATATTATTGTCCAATTTCATTGAGCTATGTTAGACAACTTTGTGAGACAGGTTAATAAAAGACAGTGTTTTCTCATCACTTCATTCATTGCTACTTCTTTCAGGAGTGGAGATAAACTGGTGGTATTCAGTGATGGCCAAAGGGAGATTCACACTGCCCAGTTCAAGAGGAGGGAGCAGCCAGATGTCACCATGAAAACTGTTCTGCAACGACAGACAGGAAACAAAGTACTGCACTGGACAAGTCCAAATCGAAGATGAGGAGGGTAATCTCATCCTGGATAAGATGTGATTCCTCCCTGCAGAAGGCTGTGGTGTGTATATGTGTGGCTCAAGGTCTTTTCTTGGCAGAACTGTTAGGAAGATTTAACTTGTGAAAATGAATGGATGGATCTGAAGGGCTGAAATTACTTTGGCTCAGCAACTGGTGATTAGATTGGAATAACATTATCTGAATGAAATGTCTCTTGAGTGAGACTGAAGGAGATGCAGTCATGTCCTTTTTGAGTATTCAACATTAAAATACCCACAGTACTTCCCACTAAAGTGTTTGTTTCATGGTCACACTGATCACACTTTCCCCAGTTTTTCTGCAATTGTTGTGAAAGTTACTACAAGTAAGAACCCCAAATATACAGTTCAGTGCTGCCTTATGATGACTAAAATAAATCTACATCGTTTTTTTTATTATCTGAGTTAAAAAATGTATGGAAGTGATTCATATTTTTAGTTTATTTGGATTCTTTGGAGCAGAATTTCCCAGTGTGTATCAGGGATTATCATGAGCTGGACACTAGACCAAAATCTGAGCAGGAGTGGAGAGAACAGTCACAGCTCTGGATGCCACTTCCAACCAAAGTTATGCAAAAATTATATGATCATAATCTAAAAACTCTGCCTCATGCATTTGAAAATAAAATGTGATGTTTATTCCATTCTAGTGATTATTCTGGATCAAAGATCTGGATCTTTTAGATCTTTCTTCTTCCTCCAGCAGTCTTTCCTCTGTGTTGCTTTGTCTTTGAAGTAACTTTCCCACTATTGCTTTAATTCTTGCAGTAGTGCAAAAATATTTCTGGTCAGTGAATCTCTCCATCTGTAAGGTTCTTTGGATGGCACTTGATATTTTGGGGGATTAATAATTTATCAGATGCTGCTTTCAACTGCCTTCCCCATAGACTGCCTTTCAGAAAACCATAGAATGGTTTGGTTTGGAGAGGGCCTTAAAGACCATCTAGTTCCAGCTCCCGCTGCCATGGGCAGGGACATGTTCCACTAGACCAGGTTGCCCAAAGCCCCATCCAACCTGGCCTTCAACTCCTCCAGTGAAGTGAATTTTTCCAAATCAATGAAACTCTTCACTTGTAGAGCTCAGCTCATTACCTGCCCACCAGCTGTGATGCCCAATTATCTCCATATGCCCTTCAAATTCCTGTAGCAACAAATACACTCTCATAGCATGATGCTTTAGCCTTTTCTCACACCAAAGTGCAAAAATTGCAACATTATGGAAGTGCTGCCTCTTCTTTTCTGTTTCCAGGGGCTCAGACAATCAACAAATCACCACTCAAATTGCAGGGCATCTTTCAAAGAAAGCAAGAAGCATTGCTGATCTTGATCATACACACACTTCAGTTTATCAATTTAATTATGAAGCTGTGAGAAGTTTGATATCAGCTGGTGTAATGATAAAATTGTATTGTTTTTCCTTAACTGCTTCATAGCAGTCCTGCTTTCAACAACTGAATAAGTTAATATATTTTATTTGTTTTGTAAAAGCAAAATCTAACTAAAATAAAATCAAAACATTCTTCTCCATGTCTTTCACTAAGAATTTCTATTTGTCCTACCTCATGCTGACCAAAACAGATCTATGATTTTTTTTCTCAATTAAACATCATAAAACAGTGACTGTGGCTAGTGTTTTCTGTTTGGCTGAGAAACTAGATATTATACCAATGTTTTATAAAGGACCATTGTTTTTATTCCCAAGAATTCCTCTAACAAAAGGTCCCTGTTCTTCAGTTAAAATGCTGACATTCTTTCTGTTTCTATAGTAAATCAGAAAACAGGCTTTGCTCACAGCTTTTAGCCTTAATCACTGTTTATTATTCAATAACCTGCCACAGAATCCTGTGGATAAGTAATCCCTCCGAACTGTAAGCGCAATACAGGACAATTTTGTTATCATGCTGCTTGCTCCTTGCTTCATTAAGCACTCTGGACTCTACTTGCAGGAAACATTTTGGCTTTGTAATAATTTGGCCCAGGGTCCTGCAAGATGTGTGACACATGGGGAATATGTGCAAGGCAGTCCCTAGAGCTGTGCACAAGGGTGACCCTACTGAAGATTTTGTAGCGCTTTTGCCGGCCTGTGTCCGACCATCGTTTTACCAAAACACGTTTTTTCCAAGTGATATTTTATAGCATTATAGTAAATGGGTTTTTGACATAAAGGGCACACATTGGGTTTGGAAACAAGGAGGCATAACATTCACCCTCATGAATGACAGTCTCTGTCAGGTATGTTATAACTGAGAGTCCTCCACAGATGAGTTCTCACACATCCCACTTTGTTTTTCACAGGCTGATTCTCACATCCTCTCTCCTCCACCTTCCACTTGCCTCAGTTAACCAGAAGAAACATGGCTCTACCATTTATAGTTCATAGCTTTAGGAACAAAAATAACCCCAAAATAATTCAAATGAAGTGTGACTGCATATTGTGTTTAAACTGTAACAACACATACAGCTACTTCTTGATATTCTTTTGTCCTGGAGGATTTACAATGAAATTTTCATGAATCTTTCAGGGAGATGGAACACATTTGGGAATTACCACTTTTGTCTTTTCAATGCTAGGTTTCCCTAGCATTAGCAAAAACATGCTACAGCCGGTATTTGGCCTCAGTTTTTTTCACATTTAGAATATGCTGTGACTTGTGAACAGAGCTACTTCCATTCAGACAGCCAGGGTTGTGGGCTTCTGGCCTTTATCAGACAAAATATGTGTGTGGTTAGCTCCTGGTTGCAAAATTCAGGTGCAGATAACCAGCAACTGAGCTGGGCAGACTTGTGTGGAGAATGCCCAGCCTCCTGGGATTTGTTTCTTTTAACTTCACCTTTTGCTCGAAAGGGTATTTTTGGCATGCTATTTTTTCCTGCAGCTGGGAAGTCAGTGCTTTTCTTGGAAGTGCTCTGGCAGTTTTCCTAGCTAGGACAACCACCTTAGGAATTGATCCTCCTGCAGCCTGCAGGGCAGGTTGTGGAGAAGAGGACATCTACCCACTTTCTTATAAGTAAGCCAGGTACTCTCACCAGCTGTGCTCCAGGACACAGGCCTTCTGCCAGCCCTCCTCCCAACCACTTGGTTTGACCTGAAAGTGTCAATCTGCTTCTAGTTCGGCAGTTCAGCAATACTGTGAGAAAGTTTTCTTCTCACGGTGTCATCCATGGAACAGCCTAAACACCAAGCTGGATTTCAGTTGAGTTCTAAATGCCAGGGCTTGAATTTGTCATAAACACTCTCATGGAGATGAAACTCCAACAGGTTCAAGCTGTCTCTTGTGTCACAGTCATTTGCCTTCACTTCCATCTTACTTTAAGGTGACTTTCTTTGCACTGCTGCATTACTGGCACATTATACCAACTCATTACATTGCCCTGCTCTGAGTTAACTCTCCTAGTTAAGTTCATAAAGCCCAATGCAAAACTGACAGTAGACAATAGGAAAATACCTATTGATTCCAATGCTCTTTTCCTCCTCTGGCTTGTGCTGATTTAACTTACTGGTATTCCTGTGCTGTTCCACCGATGAACTCCTCTCCAGTTCCTGAGGAGCAGGGCACCTTCTTGTCTCATCACTTCCCTCTCAAGGAAATAATGTTCCATAGAAATATACATGGATTCTAAATGAAATACCATTTCCCACTGTCTGTGATGAAAGTGAGTGATGGACCCCATCTATTTTTATGAGCAGGAAAAGCATTTTGAGTTACATTGCACAGAGCCATTCCCATATAGACAGTTCATGAAATGTGCTCCTCCCTACCCAGCTCGTTCAACATACACAAGGCTCAAGCTAAAGACCTGTCCAGCTGGCTGGTGGCATAGAGGAAAAATGCCAATGGATCTGTATATGTGAAAGTGTTATTGTTCCTCTCAGTTTTATTTTTCTGGAAACCTACAGTGGTGAAACCCTACAGTCTAATTGTACCTGAGGATTAAATTCTGTATTTGGTGCAGAGAGTGTGTTGCTTGAGAGAAGAGTGTCTGAGCTGAGGACCATTCTGATAAAACATCAACATACCTCACCTTCTCTCAGAAAGCAGCAAGCAAAAAAATACAACGTGAATGGTCTGTCTGCTAAACAAGACCCTTTGACATCCTGTTGTCATTGTAGTGGCATTCTTGCTTTTTCTTTTTTTAGACTCCAGGACGTTTAACCTCTGCCTTCCAAACAACTACAGAAAAAAAGGGGAAAAAATCACACCTGGAAGTACTGCCTTGAGCAATGTACAGTTGAGTTGAGGGAGGACAATTTTATGTGGAATAAATACCATTTATTGAAATGGAAGACTTTTTTCCCAGAGAACAAATGTAATCTTTTGATAGCTTTTATTTAATTTTAATTTTCTTGTTTTGAAAGTGTCAGAATATCCTCTTTTCATTTTTTAAGAGACAATGGTTCAGGAAGACTTTTTTAAAATGCCAATTTAGTTTTAAAACTAAAAGCCCAAATGTGAAATGAAATGCTTTACCATTGTCAAATGTAAATTAACATAATTCAAAAATTTCACAAGTCACAGAATAGTTCACGATTCTCATCACTTTGTTTGAATGTGGGAAAAAAAAAATATAAATCCTTCAGGAAGAAAAACCATGTTTCTCTCTCCACTCTTGCATTTGTGGCTCTCTCCTATGATGTACCTATGCCATAGCTGTCCAATGCATACAGAAGTGTACAGGAGGTTTTTCAGGAAGGCTGGGAAGCAGGACAATGGGGTTAGAAGAATATGATTACTTTACCACAGGACTTCCTTTCCTGTGAATTCTTTGCCCTGTAGTGTGTGGGTTAAAAATAGTCCTGGACCATCTTACATTCTATAGTGAGGGAATTGCTGCCTAAAAAAAAGAAGGGATTTGACGCAAGCTTTGGTCCAGGATGCGAGGAATAAGGCTCCTACTGGAAAGAGACTTTAGGCATCATTAACGGCTGAGACTGTGGCCAAAATTTGAACTTCTGTAAACGACTTTCCATATTGCAAAGTGATATGTAATTCTATATTCCAATAGTAAAAGGTATATGAATATATTCAGTGATGTTCTACAATTAGATCCACAATAACCTTCCATCTCAAGTTTAAAGTGGCATCGGAAGGGAGACAGCAAGATCTAAACTGCACTGGGATTATTTCTGGGAATGTCCTTATAGGTAAGAGACAGACTCAAGTTGAATTATCCTTAGTGAGAGCTCTCCTTGAGTGAGAGGTTTATAGGGAACAGGAGATAAACATGGTAAGCAGTTGCTGAAGTATGGTCGTGGTGTAATAGGACTTAGATAAAACACCATGAAGGGAAAAGTAGCCTTCCTCTGTCTGTTGCAGTCATTCTTTTCAGGCCCAGAAATCTGGGGGCTTGCTGCTGAGGTTGCCCACAAACCTAATATGGTTATCCCAGAAAATTACAGTTATCTTTGCTTCCACTTTCTTTCCTAGGAATTCTTTTCTTTGTCTGTTTATTAAACAGGACTATGTCAAATGCAAAGAAAAAAGAGAGTAACAAACAACAAGCAAACAACCAATCAACCAGAAAAACAAAAAGACAAACACACCAAGAAACTCAACTGTACCAAACTAAATTAGATTTAGAGTAGCTGGTTCAAATCCTGGATTTTTAAAGGATTATTAAATTAAGAAAAAAAGTTACATAGTAGAATGCAGCCATGGTAAGAATTTGGATGAGTCACCTTACAGACTGCAGTTATCTTCATCTTTTCTGCACTGCTCAACAATGCTATCAGCAGTGTTTCTGCTGCTGAGCATGCAGCCAGTGTGTGGTAAACTGTGCCATCACAGTCTCCACTAGGTAATCATAAATTAAGCTGTTAATAATGTCTGAACAAGGAAGCATTCTTTGGTGGTTTGTTCATATCAGCTTGTATTAATGAACTTCTTTCATACCTCTGGTATTCAGGGAATGAAATTCAACTTGGACATTCAGGGAATGCCAATTTACAGGAAATTGGCTCAGCAAATCTAGATATAAGAAATGTCTGCTTCATTTACCAGATAATTAAATGCAACCGCTTTAAATTAAATTAAACCACTTTAACTAACAAAGAACACCTATCCACTTTTGAGAAAGTCATATCACATATGAACAGAAGCTCTTGAAGTACAATTATGAAGCACTAACTCTAGGATTAGGCATTTGTCTAAATGAATGAGGATGAATTCCACTCACTTTACTATGTATAAATCTGTGCCCAGATGAACCCTCATCTCTTGACCAGCCTTTATTTCCAGTGGGTTCTATGTTCAGCCCATTCCTTAATAACTTGTAACCCACCTGTGGGTTTGCAGACATTCTTCCACACTGCAAAAACTACCACAGCTGTCTCTACTCGAGTTTAACACCCAAGTACTGCTGCTGCCAACCAGCACCCAGAAGCAGAGACCTTAGAATCACAGAACCAGAATGGTTTGGGTTGGAAGGAACCCTAAAGACCATCTAGTTCCAACCCCTTTGCCATGGGCAGGGACAGCTCCTGCTAGCCCAAGCTGTTCAATGCCCCATCCAACCTGGCCTTCCCTGTGAGGAGAGCAGGATGCCATCCTCTCTGACACCATGGAACACACGGCATTCAGCAGAAAAACATCAATAGGCTTATTACCCACTGCCTGAGTCCAAGCTCTGGAAGGTTTCAGGCACATGACTGGGGAGGGATTCATCTGGCTACCACTTCAAGCCCCAAAGCCAGGGTCCATTGAGATGGCTACACCTGCTCTTGTTAACCTCGGGCACTCAGACTGGTAAAAGCCATTGTTTTACTGGAAAATGAACACTGGGTTTGGGGCTGAGGCAAGAGCTTGTCTGGTAGTGAAACATGTGGTGATGCAGAATGAGTCTGCCTGCACCCTGCTGCTGGTTAAGGCCTGTGCTATTTGCTCCCTGCTAGACTGAAGCAATTGTGAAGTCTTTCTTGGTCATGAAAGAGCAGATGTCATGCTCTTTCTTATGCCACAGCAACCTCAACTACCATTTTTTTCTTGCATTTCAGTGAATATATGTTCCTAGCTGAACTTCTGCCTAAATATTTTTTACATATTATGTAGCAAAATCCCTACAGCCTTTTCAATTAAAAAAATAATATCAATTTTATAACTGTGGATTGTCCATGCACAACAATGTTAGTGGTAATTCTCATTTAAATCATGTCCAGGACTGATAAGTACCTTTATAGTCATCCTATCCCAGGCAAAAACATGTTCATTGCATTGCTGCCTGTAGCTGTAGCTTTCATTCCCAAAGTGACAGAGTTTTTCCTCATGATCCCTGTGCAATGGAAGAGTTGTCATTCAGGAAATGACTACATAAAGTCCTTTTGAAAAATCAAGAGTGAGAACCATCTCCTCAAACCACAGGCCACAATGTCCTATCTCCTGTGCTGATTCAATGTCAGTGATACTGAGGCACTCAACAAGCTCAGAACACCTTTTTCCTGCTCCTTTGCCCCAAACATTTATTGCTGAGCATGGCTTCATGTGGCATGGGATATCCCTTTATCACTCTGTGTCAGCTGTCCTGGTTTTGCCACCTCCCAGTTTTGTAGGCACCTGCAACCTACTCACTGAGGGGGAAGAGTGGAGAGAAAGAGAAAGCCTGGATGTTCTGCAAACACTATTCAGCAATAGCCAAAACACTGGTGTGTTAGCAACACTGTTTTAGTTATAAAAATCTAAAACACAGCACCATATGGACTGCTACAAAGAAAATTAACTCCATCTCAGCCAGACTCAGTACAGGAGTAAAAAGAGAAACTACATTAAAAAAAAGCTGTATAGTGTCTAGGTTGGGGTCATCTTTTTTGCTCTGAGGTTGTAGAGAATCTCATGTAGCAGGATCCTGACTTCTGTGTTGGGTTGTTATAAAGTTATTACATTCACACAGACGAATTTTTCATCATGATGCTGACCTCAGAAGCCCTCTTTGCTTCACTTGCCATTGAACATCACTTTGTGAAAGAGAATCAGAGGAGGATTCAGAGATGCAATGAAACACAATGCTGTGCTTCTCTATGAGATGGAAGCAGTGTGGGGTGAAAATCAGCAGCAGCCTAGAATATCCATCTGTGCATGCTGGGCAGATAGGAGGCTGTCAACATTCCTCAGCCACAATAGTTTTGCCATTTGTATTTCCAACAGAGAGTTCAACAGCATGTCTTTGAGCTGACAGGGCAAAGGTGCAAGAGAAAGCTGCACCTATCAGGGAGCTCACCTGTCACCTTCTTTTCTACAGAACATAATGAATTTTACTTTATTTTGTGAGATCTGGAAAAAGCTCATCATGTGAAAAGCCCTGAATCAACACTGGTGAAGTCTGAAGTGGGGTCCAGATGGTTGGGAAGAAGAAATGTAAGAAAGGCAGTAAAGTAGCATGAAGTTCGTTGTTATTTAAAAGACCAAAAAATCTGGGGATTTTTGTCACACAAATTGTGTTATTGTTGTCACACTGTGTGGTGTCTCATCCTCCTGCTGTGGTTAGTAACTGGGAGGAAGTAGTTTCAAGTGTTATCTCCATGGCAGGCAACAACTTATGTATAACTTATATGTGTATATATATAACTTATATGTAGTTTATTTCCAGAGGCAGCACTAATCTTGGACATGAGGAGCAATTGTCTGCAATTCCTTTGGTGCTGTCGGCCTCACACAGAGAATCTGAATAGGGTCATTACCAGTAATAAACACGAGGTCTGTGCAGTGCTCTCTCATTAAGATGCAGGGACACTGCACAGTAAGTGTACTGTAACACTCTTCTCTTTGCAGCAAAACCACGAAAATCCATATCTAGAAACAATATGGGTAAAACTAAAGAGAAATTGAAAAGAGATGAGCCACTGCAGGTTACATGTAGGTCTCAAGAACTTATTAAAGTATAAGCCCTTCCTCCTTTTCTCCCTATCTCTCTGTGACTTGCACTGTCACCTGTGCTCTTCTCATGGCAAGGTTCCCCATGGCCTGGCTGCTTATCTTGAAAACAGCTCTGTTTTTGGATGGGAAAATGGGGCAAGGTCATAATCACTGAAGTGTATTTTCTTGTAGAAGGCATTTCTTTTAGGATGAAGTTGCTGTAAGAGGTGACAGAAAAACTGGAGACAGGAAAATCAAAAGAGTGCTGGGATAGAGGGATGACACGGACAGATTGACAGCTGTCTGCTGACCTAAGACAAGTTGGTGGACTCAGCGGTTAGTTGATCCTGTGGTGTGCAAATATGAACTGCAGATATAACCAGTCCATAGGCTGATGCTATTTACAGCAGGTGTTAAAGAATGCAGCATAAAAACAACATAAATCTTTATAATTAATGGTTCCATGAGATGATGTGTGTTATCTGCAATCAACTGAGCAACCCCAGTTGCTTTCTTCATTCTGCATGTGGTTTGATTGTAAAGCTGTACCAGGTCTTATGCACAGAAACAAAAAGATGAGGACTTTAGGAATCTTGTTTACATTTATTAAGACTTTATTTATTAGTTTGTCATCTGCATGAAAGGATAAAGTCAACTAATCTTCCCTTATAAAGGTGAGATCTCAAAGGAGGTTTTTACTCCCAAGACATTTGCATCATAGCAGCCTTGAAATCTGTTCCTTTACCATCCTTGTGGAAACAGTACACACTGGAACGCCCTTGGAGACGTGCCTGTAAAGAGCTGGCCAGTTTGCTTTGCCTCCATCCCTCTGACCCTGTTGGATTACATGTGTGTTTCCTGAGAGGGGGATTTTCCATTTTCCTTCTTGGTAGCAGCAGGTGTCCTGTGGGAGCTCTTAGCCTCGAGGTATTCCACTGCTCCGTAGGTCACCATGGACAGCACAAGCACAGACAGTAAAATGTACATTTTGACGTAGGCTTGCAACATGTTGCTGTAAGCGAAGGCGATGACAAATCCAACTGATTCCCAGAGACGGTAATTTGCAAAGGCAGCCTCCTTGTTTTTCTCAAATAAAATGCCATAGATTGCTGGAAGGAAGGAAGAAAAGAAGGAAAGACAAGTCTCGTGAAGATTAAATCTGCAACCACATATTTTCTGCAAAGGGAATAAGTAGAGCACAATGGGAAAGACAGACCCTCCCTCATAAATGTCAGAGAAAGGGCAATACAAGCCTTGCCTTAAAATATTGTTGTGCTTCTGTGAATTGTAACAAGTGAAATAAACATGAAAACAAACATGACAAAATAGAGAACACCAGAGAAAAAGGGAAGAAAAATGCGAGGAAGGAAGAAAGGATGTGATCTATTGAAATAAGATGGCTGGACTTCTTTTTCAAACTATTAGTTATAAAAATGGAAGGTTTTGCCCTGATGAGCAAGTAAGGAGAAAAAGGAGGCCTTGACATCATAGAGTCTCCATGTATAACTATGGAGAAACTCATACCAAATCCTTACTGGCTTTCACATCATGGGCTCAGATTTAGTATGCAGATAAGATACATCTCTCTGAATCAACCGGGTTTTCAAATTTTCAGCTTCTGGATGGGTTAGCAAGTAGAATATCCTTGATGCATACAGAACTTCCAGGCAGCAACTGGAAAACTTATTTGACACAGAGACTCAGTTCAACTGATCATCCTAATGCAGTTGTGTTCACTGGGAAGCTCCCAATGAGTTAAGTCAATTGCACATGCGCAGCTGGGATCCAGGGAGGGATTCCAGCCTCCAGGTCTGGCTAGTGAAGCATACAGGGAAAAGGGAGAGAGCTTGCTTTCCTCTGCGTGCTGAGCTAGTACCAGCAGTGATAAAGAACAGGGTATTTACTCTGATTCAAATGTGGTATGCACAGAGGAAAGAAGAATATCAAGAGCTTTGACTGTTTTCATCCACTTGTAGAACAACACATCTGTTTGAAATATGTACATTCAGCCAAAAGACAAAGAGGAATGCAAAGTTCTCTAAAAATCTGAGTAGACTCAACTACCCCTTCATTTTTCTTAAGTAGGGGGAGACTTCTTCTGTATGAAAAAGCTTATGTGTCCTGATGACTGCAAGAGGACATTGGCTGAACTGTTTCGATTCAGACATGATGGAAGTCTGGACAGGTGCATCAGAAGATATACTTAATTCATTAAACTAGCTGAGTGGAGTGTAGATATAATAGATCTTCATAGTTTTGCCTAATAAATGAACAAGTGCAAGTTGTTCATACTAATTACCTGATATGCCCAGTGCTATCTCCTGGAAAGATACTAGTGAGGCAAGTTTAATACAGGAAGTTTTCTGAGGCCATGGTAGTTCTATGTCTAAAGATTCTGCCATTTTGCCATTTTGAAGCAAATTGCCTGGATGATCTTCAGCAGGACCTGCTGGACTGAGTGAGTGGAGAGGCTGCTAGCTCTGAAATTTTGCAGTTCAATTCCATGGAAATTATCCTGGTTCTTTGCCACTGCCTATTTTTCTACTCGTTCCCCTGGTACTAGTAGGCATGAGTATATAATAGGACTGCTGGAAATTATTTAAGTCCAGGTTTATAAACTATTTAGACTCATTTATATCCTTTCTAAAGACACAAATCAACCTGGAACGATCTTGGTTTTACTGTAGTCCACCTGATAGTTCTGTGCTACACAATTATTATGCCCCAGTTGTTTTGCCCCAGGTGCAATTTTTGTCAGTGCATAATATCAGCATCTGTGCTCAAGTTAGATAAGAAAGGGCACTACACACTCTGAAATGAAGTAGCTTTCACTGGAAATAAGTGAGAGCGTCCACACATGAACACAAACATGTCAGGAAAACTTTATAAGATGAAGTGGCTCATCTACTGTGAGCCCTCATATCCTCTAGGGGGTACTCGAGTATTAAATATCCACAGGAGCACAAAGCAAACCAAAGAATGCCTTAAGTATGTGGCACTGTGCCATTTATGCATTCACTGGTTAATCTACTGAGGCCCAAGCAGCACTCATGGGAGCTTAGCAAAGGAAGGAACACAGATTTTGTAAACCAATGTTATTTTGGAGGTCTTATCTCACCTCATAGTCTTTGATGCCAGGAATTTCTCATGTGATGTATATCTGTATGAAGCTTTTGAAGGGGAGAAGACAATTAGTCCTATGTGGGTAAGTCAAACTGAATATCCTATTCTGGGATGCAACACTGTGGGGTAATGTCACTGCACCTCTCTATTAATGTTTCATGTCATCACTTGATGTTTCACTGTGACAATGTGACAAAGAGAACTTAGTATAATCTTACAAATGGGAGCTGTGAAACAGCTGAGTAAGGTACAGACCAAAAAAAGACACTATGCAAAGAAGAAGAACATTTGGGTATCTTTCCAAATATGAAATTTTCACAAGTATCTCGCAGGAATCTGGGAATGCAGATGACCTGACAGAGGGCTGTAAACAGAGGATGATCCTGTCACATAGCTGCAGAGTTCACTCACCATCAAGTAAGCATAAAGTACTGTCCACTGTCTGCCTCCTCTGGTGGTTTGGAAATTACAATCACTTCCCAGCCACCTTCTCCAATACTTAAGTCCTCTGTGCTTACCCCTTTTTCCCCTAATGTGGGTCTCAGGTGCATTTTTGTCATGCAGGGACCTTACTGAGGAAACATGCTCCTCAGGGACACCTCAAATATATGTAAATCCTAGAAGAAAGGGTACAAATCCCAGCTCTTTTCAGTGGTGTCCAAGAAAGGTGTGCAAGAGGCGATGGGCATAAACTGAAATACACGAGGCTTCCTCTGAACATTGGCAAATTTTTTTTTACTATGAGGGTGACTGAGCACTGTCACAGGTTGCCCAGAGAGTCTCCCTCTCTGGAAAATATCCAGGCTCCCTGGACATGGTCCTGAGTAAGTGGCTGTGCCTGGGTGGCCCTGCTTGAGCAAGGGGTTTGAAGTCCAGAAGTCCTTTCCAGCCCTAACCCCACTGTGATTCTGAAAGAAGCACAGTGTCCGAGGACAAGGTTTTCTGGATAAGATACAAGCAGGACAAAGGACAAGTCCTTTATCCCAGTGGAAAACTAAGCTACAGTTCTCAAGAGTGTTAGGAAGCATGCAGAGCAGTCAGAAAGACTGTGGCTGAAGAAGCAGGAAATGAATGAACAGTTTTACTTATGGGAGAGCAAATCCTCTCTGATGTTCTCCTTCCATGACCCCGAGTAGTATCAAGAACACTGACTAAATTTTTACCTGAGGCACAAGCCTCTGGGTAAGGATGTGAGATGATGAGAGGGTGTTCCCTGATGTATGCACTAGCTCTGCTCTAGGGGATATGAGCTGGAGCTGCTGGAGGGGCAGAGAAGCATGTTGGCTGGTCACTCCCTTATGTGTAAAGGCAGGGACTCTACATGTGCTTGAAAGGAGATCACTCAAGGAGGCAATGGACCACGATGCTTTCCATCTGTCTCTCCAGGAGGAACAGGACACTTTTACCTAGTGAGTGAAGTTTTCTAAACTCCTGAGACAACCAAAGGGATCAGAGAAAGGAAGGCCAAGATGCATAACCTGATGTGTGCCCAGAGAAGCACCTTCCCCTGAAGTGATCTTGTAATGATGTGATGTAATTTCAGCTTAAATTTTCGACAATGAATTCCATACTTTGCTTATGCATTGTGTGAGAAATACTATTAATTTTGATTCCTATAAAGACTTCTGCCTGGTAACTATCTGGTGCCACTAGTCTTGTTATTATGAGATATAGCGAATTTCAAGTCACCTTCTCCATACTATTAATTACCTTACTGACTGCTTTCCATACTTACCTCTTGTCCAGGCTAAAGAGCTCTAGCTTTTCAGTCTTCCTTCAAGCAGAAGTGCCCCATGACCTTGCTCCTTTTTATTGCCTGCTTATGCCTTATCACACTGGATTATTAGTTTTGAAATAGAGTAAATCAGAGCTGTATGAAGTCACTTGACTGTATAATATTTCTGCGGTTTTCTCCTACACATTTTTTCCAATAACTCCTAACAGACAATTTTTGTCTTCTTTTGTTGCTGAGCTTGGAGTTAATTTTTATCCAGAGTGCTCTCCTTTATGCTAAAGACAGACTAAATGTAAAATTCTTCTTAGTTTCTAAATTACTTTGAAATACTCCTCCAGAATATTTATCCTGAATACCCTAATACTTGAATAATCTTCTGCAGTATTCTTCTCTCTTCATCTTGGAAATATTGGTTCAGTGAGTATTTTGCATTCTTACTCCCAACTTGTTCTATTTCTTCTGCTTTCCAATGCGTTAACATATTTCTTTTAGATGCTGTCTTAAAGACATTATCATTGTTATGCAGCATTGTTTCATAGATGCAAACATGCAGACTTTTATATCTCAACAGAATACATTTCATTGTCACCAAGACTTACCATTAGTTTGTGTTTGCCAAACAGCATCAGATACGCCCCAAAGAGCAGGGATGACAAAAAACACAGGAAGCTGCTTGGGATGAGGTTTCCACAGCAGTAGTGTTATTATACAGCCCGTGTTCAAAACTGCGGCTGTTGATTTAGAAAGAAATAAAGAAGAGAAATAAAGATGCAATTATAATTAGGACAGATTGTGGTAGATAACACTTATTTATTCTACCCCCCAACAAAAGCACAAGGCAATCTTAAAGTCTTTCTGGTTCATTGAGCTTTGCACTGACTGAGTTGATATCACATGAAATACAAACAATGCAGGCCTTTGACAGTGTCTAATTCATGATTCTGAGCAGTGTCCTGAGCTGAGAGATCCTCAGTGCTGATACGGATGTTAGCACAAAGGACACGAACCACTGAGAAGGAGCTTCTGAAAGGCTTGCAGTCACCATGTGAGGCATGTGGGAAGGGGGAGCAAACACCCTTCTGCTCTCCTTGCCTTAAATGAGGTTTCCATTTAGGGCTGGAGGGGACAATTAAGGATTTCTAGAGGATCTGGTGGCTTTGGGGTCTCTGTTTTAAAAGGTGGTTTTTAAATGAGTCACAGATTCTTCCCCCCCCAGGTGCATATTCACAGGCTGAGTACAAAGACCACTAAACAGAATTGAAGTTCAGAGGTCTTCCATTTCTAACATTGCAGTCTGGGGAGAGATTTATTTGTTTATTGCTACTATTAGGTTGTTTTGGTTTTTGTTTCTGTTTTTTTTAAATCTGAGTTTTATAGGCTGAGACACACACCTAGAGCAGACAGAAGAATCTTTGAGCTAGTGACTGTAACAGAAAGCACTCTAAATTTCTTCCTCTTTGTCCAGGTTTAAAATTTCCTGTGGAGAATGTCTATAATGTCTTGATGCATATTGATCTATTCAGTGATGTTTCTAATAGTATAAGTTATTGCATAGTGGAAATAAGGTATTAGTCCAGTTCAGTATGCATAATGCACACAGGGGCACAAGAGAAATATTTCTTGGTATTTATTTTGTGCCTCCGTTACTCTGCTGCTCATTGGAACAATGTTCTTTGGAGAGGGAGATGTCCTTAAATATGCAAATCTTTTCTCAAGGCAACATGTAAATTACTGTCCTGTACACAAGCCCTTAAGTTATTTTGGCCTGACACATGATTCTCTTCTATTTTTCTCCCTATGGAACAAGTAGCAAAAAGGACGGCAGGCCAACCTTTAAAAAGTTTCCTGAAATTTCACTCAAATTTCCAAGTTTGTCATTTCCTGAGACTCAGGTCAACAGTGATTTGCATCCACTCCATAAGTGTGAGGAGGTCTCAGCCCAGTGGAGAAATCCTTCTTATGATAGTGCAAGTCTCAACATCTGCATTGCAAGATGATTTGTCACTGGCTGCATCAGAGCCATAAACATCAAAGCTATAGGGCACCTTCTGCATAGATAGAGCCCTCAAAAGCAGGCTGAACTTACATCACCAGCAAAGTGATGTAAGGCAAAGACAGCAATAGAGTGCTTAACTGTGAGCTGAGCTGCCTCTTCTTATGAATGAAGTTTGTGAAGTCTGCCTCTAGATTGACTTTGGTTGTAATTGATAGCTGACAGCAAGCTATCCCTCTGTACATGCAAAGGGGGGAGTAGTGGATCTGATTACGTGTGGTGATCAGTAGTTCAAGAAATCTTTACATACCTAATGCAAATAGAAGTTTTCTACCCGTGAACTGGGAGATCTTTCCAAAGAGCAGGGAGCAGAGGGAATTTACACCTGCAAAGCAGATCATCATATAGCCAACGTACTGTATCCCCAGGGCACAGGTCATATATACCTGGAAGAGAAGGGAGAGTGGTGCCGTATTTTCTTTGATAAAAATACACAGCTAAAGTTCAAGCATTTTACCCTGAGTATTTGGTAAATAACCAACATGGATGAGATAAAAAGAGCATGGCTAGAGAGTTTGCTGATAAGTCCCTGGTGCATTGACATAGCTGGCCTTCAGCAGCAGCTTTCCTAACCCTGTTCCCAACCAGACTGATGCCATGCAAGCAGAGGGATAACAAGCAGAACAATTCTGAGCACTGCTTTCTACAAATAAAACTCCTGAAAGCAGCATTAGGAATCTTCTGCCCTTCCCATCATAGCCCAAGAGATGAAAATTGGCAGTTGACACTATGGTCATGACAGAGCTGCTCCCAAAAAATGAAGAGGACCTCTTCTATAAGAGCATATAACAAGTGGAGGTTGCCATGGAGTGCCCCTTTCAAACCATTCCAACACAGCAACAAGTGCACCCTTCCATCTGATTTATATGCAAGGTTTGAAAGCCTTAAGCATGGAAGAAGATGCTCAGGAAGGTTGCCCTCTTTCTTTTGAGGCTTTCTCAACAAATGCCTGGAGAACATGCCTGCTGTTTATCTAGGTTTGTTGAGAAACTGGAGGAGCAGAGGTGGTTTTAACAATTTCAATCTGTCAGGGTCTGGACCTGTTGCAGTAGTGACTGTGAGGGCTTTCAGCCAGCCACATTGAGGACTTGCCCTCTTACCGTAAAAGTTGTCAAAATAAAATATGTGGAATGTGTGCTGACTTGCATTTATACAAGCTCTAGGGAAACCAGAAGAGGAAGGAAGATATGAAAGCTTTCCTGACTTCTGGCTTTTCTCCCAGTTTGTTATTTACAACGAGGTGAAGAGTTTGAACCTGTAGCTCTCTGCTGTGGGCTCCACTGGTGAGTTAAGCTCTCTACTGCGTTCTTTTTGAGGCCGTTCCAAGGGACATATTTACTGCTGCTTGAAGATGTCACTCAGTTCATTCACACAGAAGTAAGCAGTAATTTTTCAGTCCACAAATCATTATTAAGAACATCTTCATTTGACAGGTAAATATGCAAAACTAAGATACAGAGGCACAAAAAAAATCAGACAGAAATAGATTTTCATTTACATCCATACCTTGGAGTAGTCACCAGTAAGAAATGCCTGTTCAAACCCACTGTACATTGTCAGAGGGATTAGAAGACACTGTCTTTTATCTTTAAGATGCCGGAAAGTCGCTAGGAACGTAGACCAAAAGGATGGTGCCTCTAGTTTTTCTTTCTCAGTCTCTACTTGGTCAGATTGGATCTGGTCCAGAAATATACTAACCAGCAACACAGCTAGCACACCACTAGCTGCAAAAAAAAACCAAAACAAAAAGTTAATGGAAAACTGAGGAATGCTGAGAGAATGATGGGAAGTTGCTTGCTGCTGTTATTGTTCTGACTTGGTGCTTAGCTCTCTGTGGGATATTTTGGCAGCTGCCTCTGATTCCGCTTCAGTGTAGAGGCCATTTCTGTATAAACAAGGAGGCCTGATCTACATTCACATCTTCTGCATACAGCTGTGCACTGGCAAATCCCCTCAGCTTAGCCGTGGCTGGCCTGTTGTGACAGCCGCCGGGCCAGCTGCACGGCCGCCGAGGGTGACGGCTCACCCTTCCAGGGCACGCCGGGGCACGGGGATGGGAGCTGGCCACAAACAGCTCCCTTGGGAGCTATCAGGAGCCTCTAAATCAACAAGAGAGAGGAGTATTCACTTCCAGTGCCAAGGTCTGCATGGCTAGCGGGGCTCTTCTTTCAAATACATGGAAAGAAAAATAAATGCTGTCTTGAAACCCAGTATATGTTGTGTCTTTTTTTTCTTTTTTTGGCTCAGAACCATGCTTTGAGTACGGAATATGTGCTGTTTTAAGATGATAGGGAGCAGCTCTAGCTAACTTGAAAAGATGGAAGTTAGAGCTTTAAACCCATAATTTCCTAGGAGAAGCAGCATATAAAAGTATATAAAAATATATAGAGTAGTTAATCAGAAAATTATCATGCATGTATCAGTCTAGATTTGTTGCCTGTGCAGTGAATCAAAACAATTTTTTTCATGTTATCAAGAAGATAACCATGTCTCACAATATACATGAGACAGCCATAGATTCACAACTGATTGCTTCATTTTAGATGCAGGGCACGATAATGTTTCCTCACTTATGCAGACTAGAATTCCATCCATGGAAAGAAGTACAGTTCAGAGTAAGATGAGAACCAGGCACCTCTTTCCATCCACTTGGCTTGTTTAATGTGTTCCTATGTTATTTGTATGGATATTGTCTCTTCTGTGAACTTTTAATATCCAAATACATCAGCAGATTAACTATAAATTGCCTCATTCTTTTATCGCTTATTATTTTTCATCCATGTCTCCTAGAATTTCTCCGGTGTCCTGGTTCCTCACTGTGGCTAAGCTGTAAATCCTTCATGATTCAAGTAATTATTGGTTCTGCCAGAGTGTTTATTAGTACTTATGGACTAATTGCTGGACTTAAATGGGTGAGAACAGGACATCAACATTTTCAGAAAAAATATATATAAAAAATACATTAAATGAATCAAGAGCAATTATAGGAGATAATGGCATGGCTGAATAGTGGTTGGCATGAACATAAATAGAAACATTCACAGTCCTTGAGACAGCAAAACAGCAGAACAGTTATCCATTACTGTTTCCACACAAGCTGGGAAAAATAAGTATTCAGCCACCAAATAGAGAGGACATGTTTAAAAAATGTCTGTGAACGAAATATTTACCCATTTACTTTCCCCTGAGGTAAGAAAAGACATCTCTTGTGTTAAGAGCTTAAAAGAAGAAGAAAACCCCACTGACACAGGGTCAGGAGGAAGCAGGGTTGCATTCACTCTGCATGCACAGAGCCTAAGGGTGTGCTGTACACGTTAGTCATCAAATTTAAATTTAAACTTTACAGACAAACACGCCTTTAGCAGAAAGTCATCATCTCCAGTACATTCTGGGACGAGAGTGGGGGGATATTTTTTACACTTTCCCACCAACTAGGAGTGGAGGATGGGGGCAGAGGAAGGCTTTTCTGCAATGTCCCTGTGCACTGAGACCTGTCTCTACCTGGATCACATACACTCTGTTGGAGTGTATGGCAAATTCTGTGCTCCTGTATCAGCACAGAGAGTACATCTGTGCTCAGAGACTGCAAAAATATTTTGACGGAGCTGAGGTGCACATTGTCTTATTGGATACTTTTCTTTATCCAGAGGATAACTTCTTTCCAGTGGGATATTTTTTGGAACTTTCCTCACTCAGTGAATCCTCGCACATATATTTTTTTCTTTTAATGGTATCATCTTCCCTGTATTTAATTCTTTTCTAGCCTTGTGCAAGGAAGGTCTATAGCAGCTGTAGTTGCTAAATGGGAAATATGCCAATTTGCCTGGCTGAATTTGGGTCACCACACTGGGCTTCAGCTTTATTCCAGGTGAAAAATATAAAGAATATCTTTCTCCTTTAGATAAAAATTATACAGCTCTGGCATAAAGCATGTGAACTATTTAGGCACTAGTTGTTTATAGCTCTCACATATCTTATTTACCTTCGGCAAATTGGATTGAAGGAGAAAGTCAGAAACTTAATCTGCAAAGCCCTGCTAGATTGCACTAGTACTAGGCTCTCCATCAGTGATACTGATTAAAGATTGTGTGGATTACTCACCAGTATAGATCCCTACCAGTGTGTAGATTAAGGAGTTGGAGGGTCTTGCTGACTCAGTGGAGTTAGTGGTACCAGTCAGGCAGTTGAATGCTCCACAGCATTTCAGGTCTTCTTCTGTGATCTCCACTAGTTAAGAACCAAAACAAAGGCAGGGCAATGAAGAGATCAGGCCAGTCCACACTATGTGTAAGGATATAAGGAATCCAGTTCTTAGTGATTGGTCCTGGTTTCAAGCCTTTCTTGATTAGAGATATTTAACTTCAGAATCCCAGTTTAACACACAAAAATTTGGTTTAAGAGAAACAAAAGAGAGACTGAACACTGAATTAATGGTTACATGAGGGCAGGGACTAAAGTTGGAGGGTGAAATCTGAATTCAAGCTCAATTTGAGTATATATTTTTACCTCTTAATCCTAATACCTCATGAGATAGGTCCCTAAGTTTACACCAGCAATGGACTGATGGACTTCAGTTCTTACAGCCATCCCACATTTTCCTTCTCCAGATAATTTCTCTATATGTTATAGGAACAGAAACCACCTCAAGACATCTTTTCGGTGTTTTTATAAATTCAAATTATGATTACTCAGTATTGCAATGTAAGATATGTGAGTTCCATGTAGCCTGCTTTCCCTGACTTTATAATTTTACATACTGCTGTTTTAACCTTCTGAGAACACTTGAAACCAACAGTTCAGCAGCATTTGGAGTAAGACTTTCTCTTTGTGCAGTCCTATCGTTGCTGTGTAGGGCAAATGTCAAAGCCACAAACACACACATACTCACACACACCATCACCAGCACGCTGTGCAAACTCCCTCCAGTACCCTCTTGGTAAAGAATACATGCCTACCCAAACTACAATCCTGGATAAACTATCTACTGGAGGAGGATGACCCAAACCCCACACAATAATTTTAGTGTTCTCACTGCAGAATTTGTCTCTGGTCCAAGCATGATAAAGGGCAGCACAGCTGTACCTTGGCTGATTCCTTAAAGGAGAGTTGATCTGTAATTTTTCAATTAAGGTTATTGCATAACTACTTTTAGTGTGGTTTTCCTCATTGCTTCCAATCAAAGCTGCTGTGATGTGAATCAGCTGTCTCACCAGCTTCATAAACAACTTGAGGTTCAACATAAGATAAAATGCAGTAATGTAAAGAAAATCATTATCTTATTATAGTCACTGGCTATTACTACAGACCTTCAGCAAAAAATGGACAAACAGACCTAAAGCAAAATTACCATTTGCAAAAGGTGAGTCACATGAGTGAGGTGTGGAAGTGTGTAAAACAAGTTTTTTATTGGTTCCTACATCATCTGAAGATGAACCTGCACATGCAATTAGTCATATGCAGGCTGCAAGGCAGGGTTTGCACTGTTTCTCTTGAATTAAAACTTGTGATATTGTTGAGGGAGGAAGGATGACTCTCATCATTTACACTGATTACTGTCTTCAGGTAAGGTATTACCATATGGTGTAACTTTGCCTTGCTGTGTCTGGATGCAGTGATGCAGGCAATACATCAAGAGTAGATATGTCTGAATTTTATGCATTTTGAATTTGAGCAGATACATGCTATATCTTTCCTACTGCTCAGTGAAATAATTCATTTTGAGTACATGAAAATATGAATGGATGCCTTGCCACAAGTCTCAGAGGAGAGGAAACTATTGCATGACTGGAGATTTTTACCCCCTCACCCCAGCAAAGAAGTTCCTCTAGATTAAAGCCGTGTCTCACTGAGAAGGCACAGTAGTGGAACTCATGTTATAACTGCTCATCACTGCTGTGAAGATGCCTCTGGTTTTGAGCACTGTTCACAGGAACAAAGCATTTTCTGAAATTCTATGCAATAGGTTAAAAAAATGTCTAAAATTTGGAGGAACATCCTCAAAAGTAAAACTAGGAAGGGATTTACAAGACAAAAAAAAAAATAGTGTTTTATTCCTCTTGTTAAAATGGTGTGTGCTGTGAGGCAGAGTCAAATGGTTGCAGCTGGTACAGACCCCACAGCTGCACCACTGCCTCTGCCCTGCAAGTGACATCAGAGCTGACAGTCCCTCCTGAGATACCATGTGGCTCTGGGATCAGGTCAGCAGAGCTCCACTGCACTTGAAAGGGTCTGCCAGCATTCTGCTTTAATGGTGCTTGCTTCACCTATAGTTACTTAGGTTTAAAGGAAGCATGATTCTACATAGGTATCACACCTTTTGACAACTACTTTGCCATAAATCCAAAAATTAAAACCTTATGTCAACTTCCTGATACTTAGCTTTAACCTAGCAGCTATTTGAGAACTCTTCAGAGGACATACTGCTTAACTGAGACAGGAAAGAGGTAGCTTCTTGCTACTTACAGTAGCAGTGTATATAGAAATCTCTCTCCATGTCTGGAGAACAGCCCTGTTTTGATTTTGACAGGATGAGGAATGTACAGGAGACTGCAATGGTAAGACGCCACAGCATTTTGAATCTCTAAGGTGGCACCCAAATATTAATCTATCTTCACAACCACCCTTTTAAAATTGACACCAATTACATGCATGGGAAATGAGGGCACTGCTGCTGAGTGATTTCTTCAAGCTACATTGGCATCTGCTGTCTGAGCCTGAAACACAGCAGAGGAGCCCTGGCATGCAGGCTCCTGCCAACAGCTACTGCTATTTCTTCTTGACAGTTCTGGAGAGCACTCATTTTCAGCAAGCACCAGCAAGCAGTCTGACTCACCTTGAATGCTTAACAGCAAACTAACCCAGTACAACAAGCTTTGCAAAAGGGTTGCTTTAGTATTTTGCCTTTTGTTTTAAATTACTTTTAGTAGAAGTCAGATGTGGAGGACTGCCAATGCCTGCAGCCTTGCAATGCCTGCAAACCATCTATGCTTTGCAATACAGGGGTAGAATTCAAACAGAACTCAGTAGAGTTCTATTTTTTAGCTTTTTGCCTCTTTATGGCTGATTTTTGATAGAAAATCGACACTTTCATAGAGAAATTTATCTCATCTATTTCAGACATCTATCCTCAGATGGGCTAACTCTCAAGTGCCTGTTTCCACTATGAAAGCTCAGCTGCAGAAATCTGCCTCTTATCTATCTAGAACTAGTTAATGTTTATAGAAAGAAGTGCCAAAATTTTAAATACATTTTACCTTTGTTGGAAGATTGGTCAAGTATCAAGGCTGAGATAAGATTTCCCCAGACGCCGGAAGTCTGAAACACCAGAAAGAAGACCCCAAAGTATTGGTTGATAATGTCTTTTGCATTTTTTCCTGCTTTCTCAGCATACAAAGTGCCAGCAATAGTGAGGTAAGTGCATTTGGCAGACCACAGTGGTGCTCCTCCTAAGCCCAGGATCACAGAGGCAGGGATGAGTGTGTACCTGCCAAAGAACACTTTATTTAACATAGTTCTTACCATTAACATAAGAATCATTTGCCCAAAGATCCAGCAGCAAAAATAGACATCAAAGAAATAGATTTATCTTTTTTATGACACAATAAATCTGTTACATGGAATCAAGGCCAGCCTTGTGAAGTTTAGGGTGTGCAAGCAAATGCAGCTCTGCATGGGGACTAGGCCTAGGCCAGGCTGGCTACGTCTGTGCTCGTGTGCCTTAACTTCTTATAACTGAGAACTAAATTGCATGTGCACTTTGGAAGATACATATTGACAACTTTCCTCCACAGAGTTGCAACCCTTTTCACTGGAGAGCAGAAGATGTTCATCCACCTTCAGGAAGAGCCAGGCAGGAGTTAGCCTTCTCCTGCGCTCCTCTTCGCCCAGAGATACTGGCTGGAAGATAGTCTTCCCTTCAACATTTTCACAAACAGCCCTAAAACTCTTTTTACTTTTAAAATAAACATCTGAATATTTTTCCCCCACTCCCCAAAGAGGAATCTCTGCTACAAACATGAGTTAGAGAAGCAGCTCCAGGTGGGTGGATGGATGTATATGGATGTATTCATTCTGACTCTTTGCACATTTTCACCCCTCTGGTCCACCTAATACAGGATTTATTTATCTCAATTTGTGGCAAGTAGAAACTTTCACATCCAACTTTCTACTCTGCAACAAAGACAGTAGGAATGGAGAGGAAAAAGAAGACAGAACTTTGCCCTTATTTTGTTTGAACACAGCAGAGAGGGTTAAAGTATTTTAACCGTACCAGCTAGCATAGAAGTTCCCTAAGGAGTAGGCAACGTAGCCGCACATAGAGACCACAATGGTCCACTTGCAGCCCAGCTTCTTGATGACGATTGGGGGGAGGAACATGGATGATAAGGTGAGTGCAGCAAACAGAACGCTTAGGGAAGCAACGCCCAGGCCTTCTTCCGCATTGAGGCTGCTCTGCAGGGACAAAAACAATGATTGAGACAAATTTTATCACAGGTACATATTATTGTGGTGTACAGAGAGTGGCTTCGGGCAGAAACAGAGAGACACAGCATCTGGGGCTGGGTATCACTGTCTCATTTCCCCAAAACAGCCTGATTATGGACTTGGAATTTTCCTCAAAATGATAGACCATTTATGAAAACATGATACAAAATCAGGTAAGGGTTGCTCCTATTCAAAGCTTCGGTAAATCCTTCTTTAGATTATTTGATGCTATTTGTTAGAGCTTCTCTTTGAAAGCAATTTGAATGAAAGGTAACCTCTTTTCTTAGCCTTCATATGTTGTCTCAGGCAGGAATATCCTCAGATCTGTATTACAAGGGCTGGCATAGCAATAGTGGGAGATTCTTTGCTTTAAACTACAGGTCTGAAAATTTCTAAGATTTTTCAGCTGCCAAGGTCCAAATATCCTTCCTAGTAGGCTCACAGAGGCCCTTAGTAGTTGGAAGAAATTGATTCACCCATATTTTCACAAAGAAGGAATAACATTTTACTGGTCTAACCAGGTTTATGCTCAAAATGCTTCTCCTCTTGTGATGCTCTGAAAGTTGAAATGAGAAGATCGATTTGGGAGTCCTGGGCAAGCTTGAAAAATGGGTCCATGCAAACATTATTATTATTATTATTATTATTATTATTATTATTAACCTCATTGTTTTAACAAGTCCAAATTCAAGGTGCTACATCTGGGTCAGGGCAATCCCAGACATGAGTACAGTTCTTCTCAATGAGAAGAACTCATTGAGAGTAGCCCTACAGGGGAGGACTTGAGAATTCTGCGCATAAAAGCTGGACAAGAGCAACAGTGTGACAAGAGCTCACAGCCCAGAAGGCCAGCTGCACCCTTGGCTGCATCAAAATAAATGTGACCAGCAAGGCAAGGGAAATGATTTTCCCCCTCTACTCTGCTCTGGTGCGATTCCATCTGAAGCACTGAATCCAGTTCTGGGACCCCTGGCACTAGAAGGACATAGACAAGTTGGAGAGGAGGGCCATGAAAATGATCAGGAGGGATGGAGCACCTCTCTTAGACAGGCTGAAAGAGTTTGGATTGTTCAGCCAGGAGAAGACCTCATTCCAGCCTTACAGTACTCAAAGGGGACCTTAAAAACTCGGGATGTGATTTTTCACAAGTCTAGTGATAGGCCAAGAAAGGGCAATAGTTTTAAACTAAAAGTGAGATTTAGGGTAGATATAAGAAATATAATCTTTACTGTGAGGGTGGTGAGGCATTGGAACAGGTTGTCCAGACAATCTGTGGATTCTCCATCCCTGGAAATATTCTATCCCAGGCTGGATGGGGCTTTGAGCAACATGGTCTAGTGGAAGGTATCCTTGCCCACGGCAGAGGGTTGGAATGAGATGACCTTTAAGGTCCTTTCCAACCAAACCATTCTGCAACTTTATGCTACTTAGCAATGTTTTCCTGATGGTTTTTATTAATAGGTGGTATGATTCAGCATGATTTTGGAAGGGGAACTGGATGCTGAGGGGGTGGCACTGGAGAGTGTTGTAGAGGAATGAAGCTGTTGGTGGCTTCATGGAACCACTTTCCTAGCCTGCAGTGGCTGTGCAGTCTGGCCATGCAGGATCATGGTGGTAGTCATGCAGCATGCTTGGAGACAGCCAGGTACCAGGACAGTCTCTGTAAGAGCAGTGCCAAGGTGTTATAGAATTGGAATAGTTGTTTTGTAAACAGGAAAAGAGGTTTCCTGATCTCAAAGGTATTATTTTTGAAACATCACATGCCTAGTTTTGTCAGCTCAAGCCTCCAAAAATTAGAAGCCAGGCTTCCAAAATCATATGATTTTTACTGTCTGGGTTTTTTGTTAGTTAGTTAGTTAGTTAGTTAGTTAGTTTATTTGTTTGTCTTTTAGTGGGATGTGAGTCTGGGTAGTAGAATATTGAAATGAATTATGAACTTTTTTAGCATTCCAGTACTTACAGGTTCACAGATTCACAAAATATTCTGAGTTGAAAGGGACCCACAGGATCATCAAGTCCAAAGTAAATAAGTAAGTAGCCTGTATGGGCATTGAACCCACAACCTTGGTGTTATTAGCACCATGCTCTAACCAAGTGTTTCAGATGGTGGGACTGACTTGCAGCTTCTGGGGTTTATCTTCCTCTGCCTCATTAGTCTCCCCAACTCATAGTATCTCCATCCAGTTTTGGGACTGTTTTTGCAGAACACCTCTGAGTTCAGAATCTGACAATGCCAGCAAAGAAAGGCTGTTCAAGGAGAGGAGATGTGCAGAAGGAGGCACCTCTTCCTGGAATGAGGTGAACCCCTCATTACTGAAAACAAGTTCATGATGTTATGTATCAAGTTCCACCTTGAAGGCATACAGATTCCCACTCCAGTTGGAAAATTCAATCCAGTTGATAGTTTATTTACTCATAAGAATTCATAGAGTAACCTTCAGTCTTTTATTTTGGATAAAAACAAGTGAGCTGTAATGGTAACCTGAGTATTCAAGTCATTCTAGAAACCCATCTCTGCTACTGTGTTTTAGGATGTTGATGCCAGTAGTTGATGCCAGTAAAGCCACAACTGTCTTATTAAAAAATAATTTTTACTATTATATCATGATCCTTGAAATTAATGTACTATTTTACACTTAAATTATTTAATGGTTTAGGCATAATTTTTAATTATTTTACATTATTGTACAATAATTATTACTATAAGATCATAACAATTTAGAAATATTGAAAACAAATCCTTTCCAGAAACTGATTTTGTTTTCCATTTGGCAATATCTTCTTCTGAGAAATGTCGTCTCAGGTTAATTTTGTTTTCTATTTCCACTGAAATAAGTTTTGTGGATCTGAAGTAGTAGCATGACACAAGTATGCGAGCTATTTGAGAAATACTAGAATAAAATATTTAGTAAATGCTGTGGATCTGGGTGAAGAATATTAACCTGCAGCAAGTCAATGTCCTAACCCACCTCACAAAAAATACTGTGCATGCCTTCTTCACAGAGACCATGGAAAGACTGATGTGTTTCACACTACCAGTTGGCCTGATGCCCTTCCAGACCAACTGTCCTGACAACCAGTGGGAGATGCCCCCCTTACCTGCAGACTCTGGAGTCCTGAGTAAGCAGTAAAGAGAAGTACGAATCCGAAAGAAATGACCAAAACATTCTTAAGATTCCTTTCCATGTTGATTCATAGAAGACAAAAGGTCTGCCAGTGGGCAAAGCTGATCCAATTATTCCGCGGGATGACTTGGGTTGGAGAAAAACAGCTTACGCCTTGTTGGAAAAGGTCACTTTTTTCTGTGTTTGTAGAGAAGACAGTTGCTAATTATTTGAAGACTGGACAGTGAACTTTACTTTTAAGTAGTACTGAAAACTTATGGAGTTGTTACTCATTCACCTGTAGTTACTCAGGCAATAGCCAGCAGTCCCAAGGGCATCTATCGCATTTTATTAGAGAGGTATATAAGTCTCTTGCAATGCTTGCACTTATTTGAGTATTGAAGTCATATAATATATGGCTCTCCACCATGATCAGTACAGAAGAAAAAAAATTGCAAGCTGTGGAATCACTTTCTGTCATAAAGATACACAAATCCATAAGGGACAAAGATTAAACACTGTACTGAAATCTCTATCAGGCCTATTGCTTAACTGTGATTACAAAAGCATGCTAGGAAATGAGACAGTGCTATAGCTCTGTCTGCATACACCAGCTCCATAACTGTGCAGCACAGAATCCCAAAGCTGCTGGCTGCTTGGCAAGTGGGACAGCCTTCATTCATGGGGAACATGTTCAGGGCTTTGGTCCCTCGGGTTTAACAAGTCATACTCATGAAAATGATTTTTCCCCTTCTTTCTCATCAATACAGAAGCCAAAAAAAAAAAAAAAAAACCAAAAAAAACCCACCCAAACCAAAAAGGAAGGTGGATTGAGCAGATAACTGAAAAAGCAAGTTCTGCTCCCCTTCTCTGGCCCTAAGACAGTCAGGGTGAATGGATCTCTCCAGCACCTGTAGCACAGGAGGGATTTGAACTTGGGAGCAAAGTGGAATCCAAAAATGTCCATGCTATGATGTAAACAGGTCTGTAGGATGTCCACAATGTCCATTGGGAATGCACAGCTAAGACTTGGTCTAAATCCCACTAGATGGCACAATTTTTCTTCCCACAGGGACATTCACATGTGAGGGGAGGAGGCTTTAATGCATTTCATTTAAAACATTTAAGAGATCACAACCAGTTTCTGCTTTGGAGAACATTGCAGTATGTGCCTTTTCATTTTCTTCTTTTGTCTTATAATCTTCTTGAATAAAATAATGCAGAAAACATAATCTTTTAATTCTCTATTGTTACTGGTACTTCTATGTTGCAAGTCTAGATAATGGCTTTTTATTTTACAGGCTACTATGCTCAGCATGCAAACTCTTTGAATGAATCACAATGCTGCTCTTGTTTGGCAATGTTTGTAAGCCTCTACAAGGAGCTTAGACCAAACTGGTGGTACTTTCCTCCATCTTTTCAGGTTCATGGATCCTTGCAATTTTCACCTGACAATATTTCAGAAGAAATTTACACCTGGTGATAACATGCTTGTTTCTGTTTTGGAGCCCTTAGTCAAAATCTTCAAAAAATGGAATCTGCAGTCACAGATCTAAAACAACTGGGAAAAATTGAGAATATGTAAGAATAATGCTTATTCTAAATAAAAGCACAATCATCACCCACTCCAGCACAGGAAAGAACCAGGAATAGTGAAAAGAGCATTATTTATTTTAGTTCTCTTTCTTGACATTAACAGTAAAAACAAGAAAGCTTTAAAAAAATCAGCATTAACTGGACACTATTTTTAAAATGGACAGATTATCTGATCAGCACTTCTGCTCTGGAGGAATTCCTAGCTCCTAATCCATCACATCTTCTCAGCAGCATAATATTGGAGAGCCTATGGGGGATACTGGCAATTTGTGCATGCAGGGTTTTCTCTTCTTTCCACTGATCAAAGGCATTCAGCCTGTTCTACATGCCTTGCCCAGAGCTTTGGGTTATCCAACTGATTGGTCCCAAGCTCCTCCTTAGGAATGTGCAGAGTCTTTACCAAAGAGATCTGATAAGGCCAAGGATCTTTACCTTTGGTACCAGGCAGCTAAAGCAGGAGATGGAAGAGGCTGGTTAAATTCATTACTCCATCCCACAGGTGAATACATTTGTTTTCACCTGTTCATTTTCTCAGGGTAAATGAGGGCAGTCTTTTCTTTTTGAGTCTTTTCTCAAAAGATTATAGCATCAAAGGCCAATCTTTGGGGGCTTTTGTACTTCATAATTATCATTTCCCTATTTACTCTATTCTAGTCAAATTTATTGTTTAGGCAGTAGTTTTGACAATAACAGAAGAAAGCCCCACGACCCAGGATATTCATCATAGGAATTTCTGTCTTAGGAGGCTTTAATTTGGTTATTTCCTTGGTGGTACCTGTAGAAAGGATGCCTGCCTACACAGCATTTCCTGTCTTGCTGTGAAAGCCTGGCCATGTTACTTCCTTATTCTCCTCCTCCTTCACCTATGTTTCTGCCTGCTCATTTTGGATTTGGAGCAGGAATGACTACCTGTGACGTGTTTTGCAAAGCCATTTCTGACAGGGGCATTGGAAAATACTGCCTGTTACATGCTGAGGGAAGGTCACAACCTGAAAGTGAGGCAACAGTGAACTGAACAGATCAAGCAAGAAAAGCTGTTTCCTTCCAGGAAGGGGGTTGTAAGGGAGCTGCCAGTCAGTGAACACGTTTTGCCCACAAAACTGGAGCAAAATAGTTTTTGTTGTGTCAAAGGCTCAAGAATTGTAAGTTGCATCTCTTTGTCCATGAAGGTTTGAACCTCTCACCCTTCTTCAGTATTTCAGGTCTCATTTCCAAATTTCCTGTCTTTCCCATCTCCCCTTTCAAATACTTCTCTCCTACCATGCAAAGCATCCACAGATACTGTCCTTTCATGTCTTCTCCTAGGATTCCCTCTGCATGCATAGCTGTGTAGACATGAGTATGCCACTTCTGTCTGAATCCAATCTGCTGATGTCCTCTGTCTTTCTCTGGAGGAACCAAATTGCCTATCTCAATCTTCCTTTATGTCCTTGATGTATGCCATCCTTCCTTCATTCCTGCTTTGCTGTTCCCTAGCTATCACCCTGCCTCTGCCTCTGCCTCTGCCTCTGCTTCTCCCTTCTTACCTCATTCCTGAGTGCCAGCAGACCTTTTGATTCCTAAGAGAGTGGTTTGTGAAAACTGCAGGTTGGGTTCCTATTTCTCAGGTTATTACACTACTCTTAGCCTCACTGGCTGTAAGGTCTCTCTCTGCTCCTTTAACACCTCTCTTAATTTCTTACAAGGTCCATTTCCTCCAGCTCCACTCTCTATTCCTTAAGGAAGAGGAGACGAGACACTTTCCCTTCTGGGTTGGGAGACAGGTGGTGCTTAGAAAGGGAACCAAATGGAAAAAGATCCTAGAGGGTACAGGCTTGAATGAAATTGACTTTTTTCCCCTTAGGGCTATGTAGGAGACTTTCCCTGAAGGACACTTGTCTGCTTTGTTGAATGCAGCTGTCCAAATAACCAATATTGTCTTTATAATAAAGACAGAACTCAGTTTAGGATAGGATAATGTGATGCCAATCCAGACTCACTCATAAATTTTGATGACTTGGAGAAACAGTTCCTTTAATTGTTGGACTTCTTATAGCTGTTACTCACTTCCTGAGATTTGCATCTCTTTTGGCTAGAGTTTTCAATGCATGAACACATCTATGAGAGCTTTCACAGACACTAACTCTAGCCTGGGGAGAAATTCAAGCATTTTGAAGGCAAGACACTGCTCTGTAGAGAAGCCAACCTCTCTGCAGAGGACAGGCAAAGAGGTTGGACTCTCCGGGCTGACAGCTGCCTGTGAACAAGCCCCTGCTTCTCCGCCAGAGTGGTCTGCATTCATTCTCTTATAATAAAATGTTTTTTATCTGATTCAAACACAGCCCAGTAACATTCTACCTTTCTAAAAGTGCTGCCTGAGCACTGACCTAGTACTTGTGCCTTGTCCTGCATTTCAGATGTTTCAGAATAGCTGCAGTAATCCCATTTCTAAATTCCCATTCCTAAACCAGCGACTGTGACTCAGTTGGTAAGACTTAACACCCTGCTAAGATAAACATGCCACTGTTGTGATCTGTGTTTTTATAATGAATGGGTAGGGAGGCAGATCCTACATATGAACAATGGACTTTTGTACAGCAGTGGCTCTGAAGCCTTACGAGCCATTTACTGGAAGCTGCCTGACTGCATCCTGGCTGTTCACATGAGCATGCATGAGAAATTCCTTGCACACACCCATGATGTGGGCTGGGAGGATGGGACTCCATCAGCAACCCAAATGATATACATTTTCACCTTTTCTCTTTTGTTCAGCAGTGGCAGCTCATGTTATTAATGTCCACTATCAAGCTAGCTCAAAAATTGTCTATAGTGATCAGTCAGGATTCCCCTATTGTTGAAAGGCTATCACTAAGATTTGTGATGAATTTATCAGCCAGTGGAAATAAAAAGAAGATAAAAGACTGGGGCTTGATCCCAGAGAGCAGGGCTGCTGAAAGTCGTGTTGGTGTATATGTCCTGGAATGTGGAGGTTCTCACCCCTGATACCTTCCACCTTTCTTTTGTCTATTGGTTGTACCCATGCCTGGACAGTGACATAAGGGGAATATTTACAGCCTATTTACCACCCACTTGCCATCAGTGTAATCATCTATATAAAGATATCTAAGATAAAAAGGAAAGTAGCCTGAGCCTCTTCTTCTGAAAGCCTTGCTTTTACTTTCTTTCTCTGAATATACCACAACTGCATGTAAGAGCAAGAGCTACCAAGCAGAAGTGCAAGCAGGGGCTCTTGAGAGTGAAATATTGGAAGGAGAAATATTAGAAAGAGGCTGGTATGAGAGAAAGGTGTTATGGATAAAATATAGTATCTATTAATCAGAATAGGAAATCCTGCAGAAAATTTTGATGATAAAATTTCCTCCCTATTCTAGCAGATACGATCAGGTGCTTGGGGCAAGTGATTATCTGTTTTACATGGCCTTTTCTGTGACACAAAACATGGGGAAACTACATAACCTTCACCTAGGGTGACAGGGAGTCTCTCCCAGGTTGGAAAAACAGATGCTTTCCCTTGCCAGTATTGGTAAATCATGCAGCCATCCGGGACATTGTTTCTTTACCAGCTGTCCCTGATCCCTTTCCCCCCATCTGCAGCCCTGCCTTCTCCCTCCAATCACTGACCCATTAGTCTGCATATCCTTGCATTCAAACAAATCAGATTACCTTTTCCAGTGGCTTCCTGTACTTTGAGATTATGAAGCTATGATAGACCTCCCTGAAAGCAGGTGCCAGGGTCCAGCTGGAACTCTTGATGGTTGCTGCTCTGAACAAGCTGTGTGCTTCTAGACTTGCACTGATCTTTACAGAAACTGCCCCGATATGCTCAAGAGAGTTGCAAAACTCCTATCCCATCCTTCTTTCGAAATTCTTCATAATTTTTGTCAGTACTTATGTGAAACTTGAACCAAGAAGCAAACAATATGTAGGAAGACAGGTCACATAAAACTCCTCCTCTGTCTTGTTATCTGAAAAAAGAGTAATTGCTATTGAATTTGCTCATTTGCTTGCCCCTCCAGTCTCTGAGCCATGAGTTGACAAAGAGAAAAGCTGAACATAGCAATGCAGTTGATCTGTCAAGCTGAACCTGGAAACCTGGTTCTTCAGCATCTGACTCTGTTTAACAAAAATCAGGCAGGCATTGCAAATTACCAAATTTTCCAAA